TAGCATCTGAAAGGGGTAGAGTGGTGGGTAGCAGAGAAAACATTATTTCAATTAGCTGAAGAAAAGCAACTCAACATCTGATTATAGTTTACACTTTTAATTTTCTCCTATTCTGGCATCTGAAATAATTATTTCCTGAAACTTTTCCATCCCCACCAAGCCAGCCACCATTTCCTTTTCCTCCTTTGGCCATCTTGGTTGAGATTCACAACTGGTAAGTTGGGTTTTTTCCTTTCCCTTCTTCTCTCCAGATTCACTGAATTTGGGGCCAGTGAAGAGGATGCTGTATCAGATCCCACTGAGATGGGACTTGATACTTTTCTTCATGCCCAGGAGGTGAAAGATGAGGAGGATGAGGTTTTGCTCCACAGCCAGGCTCATGGTCAGGCTTGTGTCCAGCAGCCTGATATGGTGCCAGTGCCTGACTCTTCCAGGAAGAGCCAAAATACCTAAAGATTCTCTCTGTGTTTAGAAATTTCTTCCAATTCCCTCTTTTCCTCCCACCCCCTGGCCTCAGCCTTGTGCTCAGCTCTGCTCCATCTATTTTTTTCTGGCTTCTTGGTCTCCTATTTCCTAATGACGATGCAATCAGTTTTAGGATGGGAGATTCCTTGTGAGAAGCCTTGTTGTTATTTAAGAAAAATCATGAAATCCATCCTTAATGAAGGGACAGGAGAAAACCCTTCCACCGAGTTACGCCGAAACCCCAGATTATCATTTTTATGGGCTTCCAATCTTTCCTGCCTCATGTCTTATCAGCAAATGCAGCTGGAGGCTTCAAAAACCCTCCCAGCTTGCTGCTGATTTTATGGGATGAAGATTAGAGATGATCGGATAGCGAATTATTCATTCCATCCGATATCTCTGGGCAGGAGGGAATATCCCRAGCAAAGTCAGCTCCTTTCTCCCTTTCTGAGCATCACACATTGGGATCCTTCCTATCTGCCTCTCCAGCAAGGCAGCAGCAGCGCTTTTCCCCACACTCAGGGGTGATTAGGGGTGCAGAATTCCCTGTGAACAGATGGAAAAGCCAGGGGGGATCACAGATGCAGGCTCATCCCGTGACAATAAAGCAGAGCAGAGGCAGGGGGGGTTTGCTTCTTGTTTCAGGGATTTTTAGCTGTGTTCCTCCCAGCCCGGGGCAAGGCAGGGCAGATCAGGAAGGTGTTTGCTCAGGCTGATTTTTCAAGGGTGATGTGAACGTGATGTCAGAGCCCTGGTGTGGGGACAGAGAGAGCCCAGAGCTGCCCCAGGACAACGAGAGCAGCAGTATCAGAGCCCAGCATTGAGAGTAGAGGATGTGAATGCTGCCCAGAGATCCACCCCCAAAAAAATAGCACCCAGAGGGTCCCATGAAATACTCATGGGCCACAGTGGGGCTGCTGAGCTGATCTTGGGGGCAAGTGAAGGCCATACAGGTTGAGGCCAGTGTGAGACGATGCACTTTTTCCACACTGCTGACACTGAGGGTTTCAATAGCACATAAATAAGGAAACACATTGCAGTTTAAAGGCATTTTTAAAGAAAAGTGGGGTACAGAGCTGTGATAGATGAAAACTTGGACCAGGAGCTGCCTTTTTCTGCTGTCTTTTATCCACACAGAGACATCAGGCTGAGAAAATGCCCTTTTCACAGTGGYTGTAGCTCCTGGTTCTYTCCTGGCAGCATCCATAGCAGGCAGGATTGAAAAACAAGGGTCRAATGGAAATGAGAGAATTCTGGCACAAGCRATATTTGGTTTGGATGGCAACTTTTGAAAGAAACAAGCAATTAAAAATTTGGTTTGTGTTTTTTTTTATTTATGTGTGGTTTTTTTTTTGTTAGGATTGTGAATGTTTTGTAGCAGCTATTGAAATGTAACAAATTTAATTGTAATTAGTTTTCTTTTCTAGGAAAAATACAATCTCCTCTCAAGGGAATGTTCAGGTTTGCTCTCACTTTTTTTTTTTTTTTTKKTTTTWTGGCTCAGACATGGGGAGGAAATGGAGAGGATGAAAGAGGGAAGGAAGGAGAGAGGAAGGAAGGAAGTGAAGGAGAAAGAAAAACAATTTCCATTAAAACACAGAGTCCCACAATGTTTTTCAAAGAGGAACTGGCATCTGTGCTTTGAAATATAAGACCCAGGAATGTTGCTTTGAGCAAACATTATTTTTTCCTGAAAACTGCATACTTTTAAGGGGAAATAATACATTTTTGGGAGATATCAGTGCAAAGCCTGAAATTCCAATCCCTGTGCAAGATCTGTTGTATTGAAAAAGACTCACATGGATTCTTGAGAGAGCACTGAGCTGGTTTGGACTCAGCTTGGCTTTGGACTGGGTGAAATGCTGAATGCTGCCAGCATGATTTGTCCTTCTGTGCCTCTAAAATGGACCTGCAGGGCTTTGACTCACCATGGCTGGGTGATGCTGAAGGCTCAAATGAGAGACACAGCAACATTTCCAGCACACTGCAGCAGAAACACACAGCTGCTTGTCCCAAGCCACGGCCAGGATGACAAAAGGAAAACCCAGCTGGCAAATAATTTGTTGAAATTTCAGACTTTGCCCCTGCAGTGAGGCTGCTACAGTGACTTGCTGCTTCTCTTTTCTCTGGGCCAGGCCCAGGGATATTCGACCAAGGAGGTGCACGGGAGCTTTGTCACAAAGGCACATTCCTTCCAAACAGCTGTGGGGGCTAAACATGCTTTGGAGCACAGGGGAGCTTTGAGATAAGCACTGAGTGATTCCCTGGCCTCATCAGCGAGCCCAGAACGATTAAATCATTSAATTGTCTTAAATTCCATGTAACTGTGTGAGAATGCGCAGTTGGTAAAATGTTGTTTGCTTCTCAGGAAGGAGCTGAGAGCCGAACCCCCGTCTGGAAGGCACAGAGCTCTGCCTTCATCCTGACATGTGCTATCACCCCAACACCCCACAGCATGTGGGTGGATCCTTGAGACAGCCCTGTCTTTGGGAAATCAGAGTCCCTGGAGCTATGCTGAGCAGAGCCCTGGGGTGCTAAAACAACCCAAGGCACACAGGGAGGAGAAGGAACCTCGCAGGGAGCCAGCCCCAGGAGGGACAGGGCAGCAGCAGAATGTCTCAGACCTTGAATTTCCCCGGGGCAGAAGCAGGACCGGCTTCTCTGGGAYTTCTGATCTGCTGATAAAGCCTCCTGCCCCAAACACCCAGGCTTTGCTGGGCTTTTACAAAGAAACAAGCAACAGGCGGGCAGTGAAGATGGCAAGCTCTGAATGCTTTACCAGATAATGTGGAAGCAGGTCATGGGCAACCCAAAGTTCACTCTCGTTTTTACTTATTCACAAGCCATTCCTTTTCCTCTGAAATGTGATTAGATTGTTTTACAGGGCCTTATTATGGGCCAGCCCCTGTTGTGACACTTCCTCACAGGGTGCAGCAGGAAAGTCCCTGCCCCACAGGGTTTGCAAGCAAAAATTAGCAGGGTTGGGGATGGGATTATCCCATATTGCAACTGGGGACCTGGACAT